GGGATACGGAATACTTCAAGTTAGGTCCTTATATAGAGAGAGTTATAATACAACCCGTTGGCAATTTTCTTTTAATAATAAGATGTGCAATAATTAAAAAAAAATAATGTGCGTCCATTGGACAACTTGGGAAATGAAAACCTGCATACTCTTCATGACTAATGGCCTACTTGAATTATTTTCATGCAGTATTCATAATCTCAAGACCACAAACAAACCACAAAGTACAAAAGGTGATACCAAAAATTCCTATTGACGCAAGAAGAGTGGTCTCTACTGTGAGGAACCATGCCATTGTGATGTGTCAGTGTCACGTTATAAGCTATAATTGAAGGAAAGTGTGGTTGGGAGTAAACTGTGGAACTTATGCAGCCTAGCTATGAAAGTCTCCATTCAAGATAATTTTGGACATGTTTTAATAGACCAAAATTATCAGAGGAACACCTCTCCGTGTTTTCACGTGCTATGTTTTGAATTCTTTGTCTTGGTAAGAAAGTGCTAGTTTTTTGGCCTAGGCAACGTAAGTTGTTTTGTTTTTTTTTTTTGTCCTTTAGCAAGAGCTATATTTATTTTATTGTGGCTAGGCCAGACCAAAATTGAGTATATGCGTTTAAACACAATTACGTAAGAGCGGCAAGATACTAGGGGAACTCGTTAACAATACATTAATAAATCCCAAGCAGGCTCCTTGCCATTAGTTTGCTAACAATATTACAGTACACTTATTAACATAAGGGCCTGTGGCTATAACAAGTTGCAATTTCAGCCACAGTAACACAATGATGGCTTATACAATCCTTCTACAGAAATATTTTAAAGCAGACAACAATTATATGGCCTTAGGTTCTATCACAGTCACACATTAGCAAATGAAATTGCATACTCCCTAAAAATTACATCACAATCACAACCCTAAAAATTACATACTGACTAAAAATGACACATTAGCAAGACAGAACATGCAACACACATAAAAGGGGCCATAATGCATGAAATTGCATACTGCCTAGTCCACGGAGGTTTTCCCTATTGGAAAATGGAACACTGACCTCACCATAGCCGAAAATGTTGACCAGAGATTGAGTTTAAACTAATACATCAGACTGAGTTTGGCAAGCCGTCGTCACACTAGTCAAATATTAATTACCTACTTAATCCAATTACTAGTAGTAAAGTAGCAAGCAGGGTCGATCCCACAAAGAAGGTTACCAAGTAGCAGGTTAAAATTATTTCTTATTATTATTTAGACAACTAATAATAATGATTTTAAATTAAACTAAACCTAAAACTAATAATTAACTATAATTAATCAAATAAAAGAAAATCTAGGGAAAAGGGTTCACCTACCGACTACTCAGTTTAACTCAACCTATAGATATGTGACTTTAGACTTTCATTAATCTCACAACGATTCACCTATTTAAGAACTATTCACTGTCGTGATATAATTCTCTTACTTAAACTAACCCTATGACTACTGTCGTGACTATAGAATTTAATTAGAGTACATTAAGAACCCTAGAATCTTTAGCTGCAAAGACGGTGTTCCTACTTTCGTGGCCCACTATCTAAGTTTAATATTCTCATTAACTAGTGTTAACCTTCAACCGTCGTTCCTTCAGTTAAACACCTTTAAAGCATGCAAGTGGTGATCAAATACTCACATGGAATAAAAACAAGAATATTAAATATCAACTAATGAAAAATTCACAATCATGAATTAAATGAAATTAAATAGTACGGCGACTACATCCAAAACCCTAGATTAAATAATTTAACTACACATCATCTTAAAAATAAATAAAACAATAAAACCCGGAAGAAGTAGCCCAAAATTGAGTTCGAAAATTGATCCAATGCTTCCTCCTCCGATGATGATGGTGCGTACGTGATTATGGTGTGTGTAGAAGGTGATGGGGTGTGGAGGCGTGGAAGGGTGGTGTTTTGGTAGTAATTAAGGTGGAGAGGAGTTTGTGCAGGGAGGTTTGATGCGTGGGAATGATATAGGAGCTGAAAAGAGGTATGGTGATGGTGTGCGTAGAGGGGAGCTGATTTGGTGTGGTGCGTGGGAATTTTGGGGCTGGGAGCTGGGGGATGATGGTGACATGAGGTGATTGGAGAGAGATGGAGCTGCGGGCTGGTGTGGGGGGCTGATGGTGTGGAAGGTTTTGGAGTTGGTTAAAAAAATAAAACTCTAATTCTTCTTTTATAGAATTTCGTCAAATCCTATTTTTTCATGAATAAGAAAGTTATTATTTTTTTTAAGTCAATTTAAATTAAAACTCCTTCAACTCCTCAAGTGCTTCAATTTCTTTCTTGTCAATTTATCAAATCTTCAATTCTCCCTTTAAGTTGCCTTTTTTTTTTTATTTTAGTCCAAAATTTCAATAATTTCTCCATTTGAATACAATTCTTACAATTAAAGATAAAATCATATAAATAGCATATTTGTACTCAAAATATATTTATACTCAAATTCCCACATTCTCAGCAAATTAAACGCAGGGAGATGGCCCTTGTTTCTTGAGTTTGACATAATTGAACATCTACTTGAGGACGACATACTTAACATAATAAAAAACAAAGCCTTCCTATTTATACGAAAATAGATGTGGTTGCATAGACAACAGCTACAATGTACTACCCAATTTCAAGTACTGTAGGTGAGCAAATGAAAAATTCCACATATAATATCTCTAGGGGAAAAAAAAAGGTGCGGCACAACGCGCTTGTCCTCCTTTTTCGTCGCCAGTGTATATAATGTTGTATTATTTTTCTTTTTGACTGCTCACTTCATTCAAAATAGATGTAGTTAGAGAAAAAATTAAAATTTTTCAGAGTATACATGGTTCTTACAAATCGAAACATATTTCGTCCATTTTTTTCAATATTGTCACTCCCCGCAAAATTGTAATTGTAATTGTGTTTAAAGTAAAATTGTATTAGAACTTGTTGTAATTGTAGTTAATTAGGACAAGAATTGTATTATGAGTAATTTAACAAGGTATTCCAAATAACAAATCTAATATATAGATTTATAGCGATTGATTCTTGTTGAAGAGTGAACAACAAGCCCGCAAGCATCACTAATGACATCACGAACACTACAGACAGCATATCTTACTTTCAACCAGTTGATTGAATCTATTGGGGGAACACTATAATCAAAAGTGCCCTACCCTCTCAATAGATAATTACCCTCTCAATATATTTGGAGTTTTTATATGATAATTAGTGATATATCATTAACCGGATCTAAATTTCGGTACGTGATATGTCTAGTCTTATTTTGGATAGATCTATGTAGATTTATTCATGGTAAATACAACAATATGATGATAGTAATCTGTTGTAAGTTGTGTTTTAGACTGTTTCTTTGTATTGTCAAACGTAATTAGACGAATTCCAACATATGAATGAAAATTTTCTTCTAAAAAAAAATATAGTAATTTAACAAGGTATTTTTCGTTTCCAACAATAACTAGTATTTTCAGATGAACGGAGTATTTTGGTATCATGTCACAAATTGCCATTAGCGCCACAAACTTAGCGAATCACAAGTAGTTGTATAGCATGTTTTCTTTGAAGATATTTTCTTTATATCCATAATAAGAAACCAAAGAAAGTCTTTCAATGATCGATCGCTTGATAAATCTTGAATGATCTAGACAGTCGTTGGTTGTTATCATTCAAAAATCTCGTTTAATTTATATCGAGTTACTTGAAATAGTTTTTCAAGTTATTTGCACTTTAAATACTATCGATGTTATCATAATTTAGCATTAGTGCCACAAACTGAGCAAATAATTAAAAGGCGATATCTCCATGTCCCTTCACACAATTATTAGTACATTGAAGGATGATGGGAGATAGCTAGACACCTCATTAAAGCTGCATTTCTTACGTCTTCTGCTTGTACAATGGAAAATTGAAATGAACGTGCTATGTATACAGATAAGCAAATGCCGAGAAATAGAGTGGAACTTGGTCCGATCTATATTAATATTACGGTTTCCTCTATCTTTTTTTCCCCCCGAAAGCAAGCCAGTCAAATTCATGTCATCTTGCCTGAATTTTGCAAATCTCTATTCCATTATTTCTCTCGTGTTTCTCACTTAGCCAGCGTCCACTTTCAACTTCTCTCTCTGGTTTGAGGTTTCAATCTCCAAATCCTTGCCGTTTTGGATCAACACATCCACAGGAGGAGAAAGGCCGGCCACCGTTTCCCCTGGATTTATGGATCTTCAGGTTGAAAGTCACTGTAGAGTCCACACTCCTCGCACCAGGTTGGTTATAAATTACGCGTTATACTGTTTTAGTTCAACGAAATAAATCATAAAAATGAGATGGAGGAACTTGGCAAATACATTTCTCTATCTTTAGATTATTTTTATATTACTCCTACGGGAAGTGTTATTGATTCTTATTCATAGTATCAGTCAAATTACTAAATTTTAATTGCCTAAGAGAAATGAAAAGCTAACATAATGATAATTCATCCATGCAAAGCTTTGAAGCTGCTGATCCGGATGTTGGGAGCAACCAACAAGTTGCGTGCGTTGAAAGGCTCTCCTCGGCCTTTTTTGCAGTGGGTTTCCTTACTGATGCAGCCTATGTACTTTGAGTTTTGTGGGTTGAACGCAGCTGCTGTGCCTTTAGCTTAATTCAGAACTCCAACATTGTGTTCTGTATTATTAGAATCTGAGGGAAATGCATAGTTTGGCTTCTCTGTAGAGTTTGTATTTCTCTGCTGACTATGAATGAAACTAAGTACCGTTTTCGTGAATAAATTCGAATATCGTGCAAGATTATTCAGTCTTGTTTCTTGACTTTGAAATGGTCTAACATTATGAATAACAACAGTATATCATAAGCCTCTTAAAATCATTTCATTAAGAGGGTTGGGAGATAAGGGGATAAGATTATGTCAACACTTTGGAAGATAAAAGCGCCGTTTCTTCCTATTGAAATACAATTGGACGAATGTGGATTGTGGGCTGCTAGACAACACCTACAATGTATGCATTCCATGAGTCCTGTTGCTGAAAACTCGTGACCTCTTCATATTTTATGTCTCGCCCCACCCCAAATCCATCTGTTTTTCTGGCTTCTTTACTGCTGGGCATGTTCCGAATCCAGAAGTGCACTGACCGAAATCCAGCCTCCTCCATGCAATCCTTGATTTCTGGCAGTGACCAACTAATCAAAAAAAAGAATCAATATCAGATGGATTATGCACGTTAATGTCTTAAGAATGCGCTTTGAGTTCATCAGGAGGCGATGAGTTTTAGAAATTAGATTATCAGTTTACTCAGTCACCCGAAAAATAGAATTGCAACTTGCAATTATAACACCGTAAAGCTCCACAAAGCATGTTTTACTGTGTGGGAAACAATCAGGAAATATAAGAGTAGAACGTGTCCAAAATCATATACTACGATTGAACTTACAGTCTCCAGCTGTAGGAAAAAGCATGGCGGAGCTTTTTGTTATGTCCTTTTAGATCATAATGCAGGCTGATCCTGGTTTTACGTTGAACCACATCAAATTCAGCTTGCTCCCAGGTATACTGAAAAAATCCATTGCATATGGTTTCAGTAACTAAGGCAAGTCACTCAAGCAAATCAATCACATTTTGTTGTTTACGAATGAATGTGATATGATAAGAACTAAGTGGTGTTGCATACTTGTTTCAAATCAAGAAATATTTCAAGTAAAACTGTGAATGCCTGAAACTCAGACGAACAAAGCCAATCTTGTTGAGCATTACTTGGTGCTGCCTTAATGAATGTGGAGGTATACATGAGCTGACATAAAAGCAAAACAGGGAAACAAAGATATAGGGGCAAATGCCCCAGAGCTTCAGTCCTTTCATCTGTTTCCCTTCCTATCATTTCTTTTTGTCGATTCCCCTTCCTACGGAATCTTTTCACTTTTATCTCCTACACTAAAGAATGTTTCAGGCTATCTTAAAAACAAAACAGAGTGTTCCAAGTACTTTACTTTTTTTTAGTCACTGCTTGCAGTTCAAAGTAAAGTCCAAGCCATAAGTCAACTAAGTGAAATTCTTCAAACCAGAAGGTACGAATTTTGGAATTTTGAAAATTTAATGGGAAAGAATTCTCTTTTTCTCAAAATAATTTTTCAAGGGGTTAAGTAGTTGACCTTATTCCAGAATGCTGTAAAAGCATACTTTCCCACTAAACAAAAAATTCCTAACAGAAGTAGCTTCAACAGGAAATGCACATGACTATGGCTAGGAATCAAGAACGATGAAAGCAGCCATTGAGGAATGGTTTTGCTCCAAACATTACAAAAAGTCCGACAAATAAACTTTTGCAGGAATGAATATGCGGAAAGTCAGAAAGCAGTTAATTTCTTTATGTTATAAGTCATCCATGCTTAAGAGAACATTAAATGGACAGAAACTAAAATCAAATAAAAGCAGCACAATTTAATCCATGGATTGAGCCATTTTGGACGCAAGGACACAAAACATAACCAGGTCATTGGCAAGAAAACAAAGCAACACTTCAGCATACAAAAAAACCATAAGATGACGGAAAATAATGATATTATTTTGATCAGTAAACAAACCGTGAAATTAGGAAATCTTCTCTGCAGCCTCAGCTCACATTCAGATGATGTACCTCCATAAAGATCCATGACAAATATGCCACCCTTTTTATTCAAGACATTAATTGCATGCTTGAAATATAAAACCAGCTCCTTACGTACATGCAGACAGCAGCAACTATAGTTGAAAGCACATACTATATCTCTATCTGGTAATCGAGTATCTTTCATCAACTTATGAGGTCGAACATTGCTAAGACTTCCCTCATTACTTGAGCTGATCATAATATCAATTATTGCATTTGTGCCATCCTTTTGATCTTCTAACGTTAAGTGTTGCCCAAGGTCTTGAGGATCAAAACTAACTAAGCTGGCATGAAGGGGCTTCAAGACATTTCCATGAAAAAGGGAGATCCTGGAATGGACATCAGCACCAATTTTGTTTAAGTTGCTGTCCATGCACCAATTAAGCGCCTCAGTATCCAAATCCAAACCTACAGCAGTTCTTCTTGCATCTGTACGAAGCCATTCTGTACTGTCAAGTGTCAAGTCATAGACTATGGTGTTATTTTTCAATCATCATTAGACATTGAAAGGCCAATTATCAGATTAACAGAAGCAAATACAATAAAACTGATGGGAGCATGAAAAATATCAACCCAGACACTACGGAAAGTAATCAGATACATAAGAATTATTAGACACAATTGTTTGCTACATCGTAAGTTTTTCATAGACAAGCATGTGACCTCTCCTGATTTTATGCACTAAATCTTCAATTAAAACTAGAAATCATGTTCTGAGCAGACACTGTAAATCAAACTGCCTTGAGAGAGTTCCCAAGATGCGAGGAAACCAACCACTTCAAAAATACAAGATTGCCAAAACAATTTAACAAAACCGGATTTTATGCATTACTTTTAGAATGTCCAGGCATATAAATATATAAAACAAATGTAAGCTGATCAGTATCCAGAAAACACCAAGCATCAGAGATGTAATGTGGGCATTACATACTGATCATGGTTACAAGGAATATGGAATGACAAAAGTTAGCCTCATTCTTAAGTCCAGAACAGTAATAAGGAAATAGTATTAATATGGAGAGGAAGAAAAGAACTTGGATAAATACACGGAAGAAAAACATCACAACCTACATTCATTCATTAAATAAAGGGAAAACAAGGAAGGTTAAAATAATTAGCACCTTAAAAGAGCAGTGCCACAAAAATCTTCCTGCAGATGCAGAGGTACCCTTCCACCCACATACATCAAGAAGAACTTCAGAAGATAGCTTATATCCCCTTTTGGAGACTGCAATCCATAAAAAAATAAAATACATGAGCAAATGCCAAACTGAAACTCATAATCATTGCTCTGAAGTTTGATCCATTATAAAGACCTAAAGTTTCAAACTTTCAATAGCCCATCTCAGATTAATCTCAGAGCAAACTAGACCGAATTATCACAACTAAAAGCACAATAACTGAAAAGCAATGAAGAAAACAAAGCGGGAATTTCTTGCCTGGACTGATTGTTCATAAAGCGAGAACTTTGAAGGGATTTCTTCGTTTGATGAGCTATCATTCGATTCATCGTTCTCTCCTCCTCCTTCTTCGTCTTCGGATTCATTGCTGTTTTCATTTTCTTCAACGTCCCTCGGCTCTGAATAGCCCGGTTCTTCTTCTTCTTGATTATACGAAAAGGCTCTTCTTCCTCTGCGCTGCTGCTGATGTTGGTGGCTACCCTTTTTACCGTGTTTTCCCATTGCTTCGCAATTAGCTGCAAGGACACTCCAATTGGAAAATTGGATTGCTTTAATGGCGGACTGTAAAACCCTTTCAGAAGGCCTTGTTTTTTATTGGGGTTTTAAGCTAATAAGGAAAAGATTTACCAAAAAGAAATAAGGAAAAGGAGAAGAAAATTTGGTCAAAAACATTTTTTCCCTTTTTCTTATGTGCTGGCTAGCTTCTGGGGAGTGTTTGGTTAGGACTGATGAAAAAGAAATATTATTAATCACGGATGATTTTAGGAATTTTAGGGAAGATATTAGACAAATAATGAGCACATGAAGTTGCACTGTTGCAGTACATTAAAAGAGAAGAATATCTTACTATATATTAAGGGAATTTTTTTCACAAGACATATGTAAGTCAATTAGATCATTGATAATTTCAAATTACACGTGTTATATTCTCATTCGTAGAGAATTTTATACAGTCCACATGTACTCTTCTAATTCGTGGATTTTTTTACTGGGTATTTTATGCAAGTAACATAATTAATTTAAACACAGTCAAATAGTTATTTTCTTAAAAAAATAATTTCCTGCGAATTAGATTTCTGACGTCGGCAATCTCCAAATCATCAATTTGACCAGAAAAAAATTCCGGCCATAAAGATCTGCGAACCCACCACTTCGGATTTTACTTCATATATACATTGAATATAATCTTCATTGCCGACGAAAACATCACCGGATTTTAATGTAATTTTCATTATCGCCGAAAAAATCACCAAAAGATTATACACTGTGAATATCCACCTCCGAATATCCATGATTTCAGCGACTCTATCGATAATACCTCCCTGGCTATCTCTCCTATGTAAAGATAGGTGATGAATTCCATTTATTTGAGGTGCGAGGAGGTTTGATGGGGTGAATGATAGATAATGATGATACCGTGGTGATGATTGATGTAGTTATGGGAGAGAGAGAAGAGGGGAAAGAGTAAGAGGGGTAATGCGGCCAAAGTGGATTAAGAATCCTTACACTCTAAAGGAAACTATTGTAAATTTTAAATGTAAAATTTTGTTAATCTTGACACAGAAGGAAAATTAGATAAGTAATCATCATAAACCAAATCTCTAAAAGATCTCCTAAAATTTTGAATTCAGAATGCATTAATATATCATAGATGATAAATGAAATACTTTCAAAATCAAATCTCGAAAGTTTTTAAATCAAAATAATCTGTCAAAATTATAAATTTCAAAAATTGCCTCAAAAGATAAATCAAGTCTAAATATTAAGATAGCAATGTTTCTTTTTGAAATAGAATATAATACCTAAAAATGAAAAATCAATGGTAAAGTAAATATATTTCTTCCTCAATCCTTTTATGTAATTTTCATATTTCTTGGTTTTGAAAAATTTATTCTACTTTTTGAATCTCCCGTTACTTAATTTTTTAAAAATACTTTCTCCGTCTCAAAACTCAATGTGAAATATTTTTTTGGGACATAAGGAATAATAATTATGAATCTATTAATAAAATCATAATCTCCATAATGTAATAAAATTTTAGGGGCCCAATAGTATAAATTTGGAGAATTTTTAATATATCATCAATTTTTTACAAAAAAAAAAAAGTCCTACCAATTATTGAGAATTATTAAAATTTTGAATTTAAACCACAAACATGAAAATATTTGTCATATTTTATAATCGAATGATGTGAAAAACCGGTGAACATATCCTCAAATTAAGAATATCATTATATAGTAAAAAAGTAATCAATCTATAAATATTATCAATCATTAAAATACCGCGCAACGCGCGGGAATAATACTAGTAGATTTTGAAAATAAATGGACATGAGATTGAGCAAAGGTAATGAGGAGTAACTAACTTTGAAATAGTGGTGGAGCTAGAATTTATAGAATGAAGGAGCGCAAATATAAAAATCTACTAAATTTTTAAAGGAGTCTTTGGAAAAAAATTTTGGGCTTATCTTAGTTAACAGAGTTTTTAGCTGTAATATGAATGGATTTCTACTGGTAAATCCTCATATCGCTTTAGATGTTAGGAAGTCCTATAACACAGATGGGTGCAGAAGTTTTATTACATTTTCCTTTTGAGAGCATGTATTGGCTCTCAATTTTCTAGAAATGTTATTGAGTACTGGTTCCAGCGGTAATTTTCTTTGACGCCTTAAGATGACCTGTGCCTGCATATTTACTTGATGTGTGAAAAGTCAATAGAATCAGAATAATACAGTTTTATTCATAGTTCAACCTTATAAATACTGGTTACCTTACCTTCCAATATCTTAGCCAAACTGCAGGAACTATTGAAATTATATTTTACCATTATGATTGTTCTTTTTTGTTGACATTCGCATGTTGCAAAATACCAAAGCTATTTCAAGATCATCTTTTTTCAGGATAGCTAATAAACTCAAATATTAACAGAAAGCAAAATCATAAAATTTGCAAAGAAAGAGCTCATATTTACAACTTGAATGCTGACTGAATCGGGAATTTTCCTCCGAAGCAAAAAGGATCTCACCATTTTTTACAATGTCCAAATTCTCATCAGAGAGATTAAAATGCCAGCAGGACATATTAGCACCACCAACAATAATAACCGAATTTTAGGGAATTTTTTTTGCCAATTAAAAATTCATGATGACTCGATCTTGCTACCTTCAAAAATTGGGGGACGAAAAGTGCATCCAGTCCTTCTAAAAATGCAGCCTGTATTCTGGAAAAAAAAAACTATGAATGGCTATGTTGATAGCATATATACATTATTATGAGATGCATTCACATAAATCAGATGTTCAATGGCTTTCTATTTGCATAGTCATTATAACAGATATCTCCCATAGCTAAAAGGAAAGAATTGACAAAAAGCACATCAAAAAGTATAGCAGATATCTCCCATAGCTAAAAAGGAAAAAATTGACAACAATAGAGAGAGAAGAAGCTCCTCACCTGGCAATAAGGCTACCATTGATTCTAAATTCTTGTCTTGATACTAGTATATTGAGATGACAAAAAAAGGTCCGACACAATACAACTTTACGTCAAACGAATACACCAGCAGCCATTCATCAAAACGAACAAAAATCGAATCATTGGAGTAATCGAATGATACAATAATACTGAAGTTAAAAAAACAAATCATATTTTAAAAATGCAGCCTGTATTCTAGGAAAAAAAAGTTGTGAATGGCTATGTTGATGGCATATATACATTATTATGAGATGCATTCACATAAATCAGATGTTCAGTGGCTTTCTATTTGCATAGTCATTATGATTTCATTTTTATCACAAGAAAAAGGCTTAGAAGAGGTAAATTTTCTCACCTTCGACAACGGTAAAATACACCTCCCGAGCCACAGCTTGAGCAGCACCAATCTGCCATAAAAACGAAATTGAAAAGAAAGACTTTTTAGCTCTTTGTCACTCAAATGCAAAATCATGGATGAAAAGCGGGTATGAAAGTCTAAGAAAGATCATGAACAATAACATGGAGTAAAAGAAAAAAAGAACCCATAAATTAAGAACAGAGTACCTCAGTAGCTTTCAAGAAGATTCCAGCAATGCGTTTGAGAAGAGAGTGGCCTAAATCAAAGAGCACGTAATATTGATCAAAGTTCCTAAAGCTCATCAATAGAACAAACTCCAAAGAAAAATACATTCAGTCAAAAAAATTGTAAAATAAAAAATACCTCTTCCTAAAAATGTAAGCAACTAAAAAGAACTACCTTGAACACAATTTTTTCCAAAAGAGAGCAAAAAATCTGAACTTTGAGAGTTCCATTAACTTACTCCAAAAATCCTCCCGCATCAAAATTGAAAACTTTGACGCCTTTGGAATACATCATTGATGAACCTCCTGAGTAACCAAGTTCAAAATAATAAAATCATCGTTCTCTTAATTCAATTCAAACTACAGAAACAAATCAGAATTGAAAAAACACAGAACCATACACTTATTGAAGAATACAGAAAAATACAACTTAACAAATATATCGTGTTTTCTTTTGACCAATGCAACAGGAGCCTTCAATCGCTACATAATTGGGAGATTAAACCAATTAGTATTTCCAAACACCAAACACAGCTGCTAAAAGGAATGTTCAAATTGTCACAAACTTCAATCTAAATCCAGATCTGAAACTCACCGGTTAGTTTGATGTCAGAACGGTTGGCGTTCGACTCCAGTTTCAAATCGATGTGTTCATCTTTTGCTTCGGTAGCTTTTCACCTCTACGGAAGTCAGCTGGTCCTAAATTGTTCGAATAAAGATTTATCCCAAATAACTTTTCAGGAGGAACCAACTTGTTCAGATCAAAAGGAGTGTGAATTTGAATTTTGAACTGATGTTGATAATTCATGGCTGGTTTTGCAAAGATATGCGGTGTAATGGCTGCTAATTGGAGATTTGTGTAGGCTTTTTTTTTTTTAAGGAACAAAAACGACGGTCGGGTTTTAGTTTGAAAGTAACAGGCTGAGGAGGAACTAATATTTTATTGGTTGGTCGGATTTTAAAGGAAGGAGAGAGGAGGAAGGCCGGCGGTGGGTATTGGAATAGGAAATTGCTCTTTTAGAGGAGAAGAATCATAGCTGAAAAACGAATTTGAATTTCACGTATCTCTTCTTTTTTTTAAAATTGAAATGTGATCGATGGAGTTAAGATTTGGAGGAATCATTTCCGGATTTGAAGCGAAAGATGAGGCGGAATTTTAAGAGTTAGCGCGTCCTGATTTAACGTTTTAGGAACGAAAACGTTGGAGGACTTTTGGGGTATTGTTTTTTTTTCCAGATGAACACAGGACACGTGGCATTCTACTTATACAAGATATGTATTTTTTTTTTTGGGCGGAAAAAAAAACTTTGTGAAGTTGACACGTGTTCTAAGTGTTATTTGTTTTCATGAAGTGTAATAAAGGAATTATACTAGTGGATACTATAGAAATTTATTCCATTTTAGTAAGTCTGGGGTAGAATTGACTTTAACAATATGCATAACATCTCAAGATATAATTACGCATTTGAAAGGAATTTCAAAAGTTGAACGCCTCTAATAAGAATTTTAAAACTTACAACGCCCTTTTACAGAAATTCTCCCTTAACCCTAAACCCGAAAGAAATTCTTTGGATAAGGTACAATATTTTGATTTTTTAAAATGTGATAAATAAAACAATAAGAAAATATTCATAATATAATCAATAGATGAATATGGATATTACTTTATCTAATGTTCATAGTCTATTTTTTTTCATGACTATTAAATTTATTTATTTTTTTAAAATAGACTATTAAAATTGAAGTGAGGGAGGAACAAGTAAGCAAATCAAAATTTGTGAATTTATATAAGAAAAGGTGTTTATTTCATGATCCATAAATTCATTCATGACTTCACCACAAATGTATCCCATTACCAAACACACCTTAACGCCCGTTCGAAAGTACCAAAACACCCACCGAAACGTTGATTCGTAAAACGAAAGAACTCGGAAACACAAAATTAAAACTCGGAAAATTCGAAATTCGGATTAAAAATTAAAAAAACTTCTCTACCCGATTAAGGAGAGATACTTCAAATTCAACGCAGCCTCTTATTCTTTCTTTCTTTCTTCTTCCTTTAACTTTCAAACCTTTTTCCTCATTCTTATTCATCTGCAAACTTTTCCCCGACTCCCACAGCTATCAATCTCATCAATACCTTGTTGGGATTTCTCCGATTTCGATAGGGTATTCATCTCTCAAGTGGGTTTTCCGTGTAATTTTTTATCCAATTAGGTCGGTTTGCGTTTTTTTTTTTTTCTGATTGCGTCATAATCCCACTTGAGATGCGAAATTCATTGTGATGTTGGTTTGATTTCCGCTTTGGAAATCGTTGATTTGATTGATTTCGGTTTTGATTTCGATTTTTGCACGATCCCTTGTTAATTTTTTGTTTTTGGAAAAGAAAAAAAAATTAGAGGAATAAATTGATGTATAGCAATTTCAAAGAACAGGCGATTGAGTATGTACGGCAAGCCGTACAGGAGGACAACGCCGGTAACTATGCCAAGGCGTTTCCTCTCTACATGAACGCTCTCGAGTATTTCAAGACCCATTTGAAATACGAGAAGAACGCCAAGATTAAGGAGGCGATTACTCAGAAGTTCACCGAGTATTTGCGCCGGGCTGAGGAGATTCGTGCGGTGTTGGACGAAGGCGGTGGTTCGGGACCTGCTGCCAATGGAGATGCGGCTGTGGCCACGCGGCCGAAGACGAAACCCAAGGACGGTGGAGAAGGCGATGGGGAGGATCCGGAGCAGTCCAAGCTTAGGGCTGGATTGAATTCGGCTATTGTTAGGGAAAAGCCTAACGTAAAGTGGAATGATGTGGCGGGATTGGAAAGTGCCAAGCAGGCTTTGCAGGAAGCTGTGATTTTGCCTGTTAAATTTCCTCAATTTTTTACTGGTTAGAATATCTTACCTTTGCTTGAGCTTGAGTTAATGTTGTGGGCTGTATCTGAATTTGTATGATTTTTTGAATTGTGGTAGCTATTTGCTGATCAGTAATGTTAGATATTTTGATAGGATTAGTGTTTAATGGTAAAGTTGGTTGCTTCATTGTTAGATTGTTGGGTCTTGTGGAATGGTGTCATTTTTTTTTCCTGGAAAGAAGCTAATTTTTGTAGAAACAAGGGTTATTGTAGTGTTATTGTGATTAAGTAGTGGAAATTGGGATCTCTGTATTAAGTTTCATGGTGGTATGAAGGTCTTTTGTGCTGTGAGGACTTATCAAAAGTTTGATAACTAGTTTGGTTGGAGAGTTTTGGTTTGATGTTGAGTTGGATCCAGTGGTATTGCAACAGTGGAGCTCACTTGCTTTAAGTGATTGTTATGGAAGTATTGGACTTGAGTGTAATCCATCTTAAAGAGAACCCATGTTTGGCTAGGACTTAAAATTTGAATGTAGTCTTCGTTAGTTGATTGATATCTTGGATAATCTGGAGAAGTTCTGAATTTGTAAGGACTTGACCAGCTTTGTGAAATCACCTAACTTTTTGAGGGGTGAACTGAACATGTGGTATCAGTTCCATTTGTATTGATTACTCCTCTATTTGAATTAATATGGTTAACACATATTTGCCAAAATTTGTCTCTTTTACTGATAAAAGCTTGAAATTTGATTAGATTTTTGCTTATGGTGCATGGTTCTTTGAGTTTCCAGATTTCACAACCTTTCTGATTGGCTGTGTCGTTATGTGTGTTTAATGGATTTTAGCTCATATGTATGATGTGGGTTTTCATCTTTATAGGCATTATATTTAATATAGTATACCAGACGCAGTAGTCTTTAGTCGTTTTGATTAGTTAGTGTGTCATCCCTGGCAAAATTCAAAATCATTTAAACTTCTGAATAGTTGCTTGGCTTTGCTGCGTCAAAATTCATACTTTATCAGATTGTTCAGTCCTCCACTGATCATTTCCTGAGTTGTCACTTGTAGATTCTGTGGGCTTCGTCAAGCTATAACTGAACATGTATCTATTGAAATCATAACTGAAAAAGCTGAAACATTAAGGTTACGCTATCAGCAGTCTGCCTGGGTAATATTGCCTACTAACCGTTGTACCTGGATGTTGTATTATTGCTATTGCTATTGTTGTTCTGTACTGTACCTGAAAGTTGATTTTTTTTTTTTTACAAAATGCATGAGGAATATCTGATCGTTAAATGCTTTAGTTGCTCACAAAAATATGATCTGAATTTACTTATCTTATTGTTCGCAGGAAAGAGGCGTCCATGGCGAGCTTTCCTTTTATATGGTCCACCTGGAACAGGAAAGTCGTATTTAGCAAAGGCTGTTGCTACAGAAGCAGACTCCACTTTTTTCAGGTAAAGCTATTATCCTTTGTCCTGTTTCAACGTCCTTTTGTTGCATTCCTTTTGTTTTTGAAGAACTTACAAATTGGGAATTGCCGATGCTGTTTTTATACAGTGTTTCGTCCTCAGACTTGGTTTCAAAATGGATGGGTGAAAGTGAAAAGCTAGTTTCAAATCTTTTCCAAATGGCTCGGGAAAGTGCTCCTTCCATCATATTTGTGGACGAAATTGATTCTTTGTGCGGTCAGCGTGGAGAAGGAAACGAGAGCGAAGCATCTAGGCGTATTAAAACAGAGCTGCTTGTGCAGATGCAGGTACTGTGATATAGTTATATTAGAGATAGAAGTGGTATTTCATCTTCTTTGTAAGTTCATCTAGTCATACTTGCATGTATGCATGTCGCGTGCATTGCATTGAAGGATTCCAGTCAAACAAGGTAATAGTGGTAGGGTGCCTGTGTGGTCGTGATTTGAAAGGTTGGGGATTTGAGATGGGAATGGCTAGAGTGATTTACGTGAAGTTGTCTCCCTTATTATCAGTGTTTGGAAATTGTGCCTGCTGGTTGTTGGTTTGATAGACCATGATGCTGGTCTGGCTTCATGGAAAAAAAAGCTGCATTTGAATAAACCAGCTAAAAGCAGGATGGGTTGAGTTTTGACTGATTGACCTTTGCGCAAATAATTGACATGGTTAAGATTTTTATGAATTTATTATTGTATTTAAGTGGACCTGATCCAGGTTGGTTGTCTGCTGAACTGCTTGGTTTTAGGAACACTCATGACAAAGAGAGGATACATTGCGATTTAGGTAGTTGGCAGGTGGAAGATGCCCGAAAATTTGTTGGTGAATTTGTTTTCTTGATTGTCCTCAAGGGAAACTAGAGACAGATTGCACTATATTGGAGCACTGACTTCCTCCACACTGGTAGTTTAGGCTTCCTTTACTCAATATGCTAGCATTTTCTTTATGAAGGGTGTGGCACGAGTAACTTCACCTGCACCCGGTATTTTTAGTTCTAGTGTATAATGGGTTCAGAATGATGGTTTTCAAAGGGAGAAAATTTTCAAACTATGTCAATTATGATTCCCGATAAGAAGAGTAAAAGAGGCTGAAATGGGACATGTAGGTACTTGACTGTGGAACGATTGGACCTCGCATGTAGGCACAATAACTTGATCAGATGGTGATAATTAACTTAATTCTTTTTAAGCATTGTTTTTTTTTTATTGGTCTTTACTTATTTATTTTGAGATTTCCTTTCTTGTTGAAATCTGTACTCTATATCTTGGTTTTAGGTTTTGTTAGTATTTTAGTGAACCACATTTTGTTTTTGCTAAAATGTGGATGTTATCTTACTTTCAGGGTGTTGGACACAATGATGAGAAAGTCCTTGTTCTAGCAGCAACGAATACTCCCTATGCTCTTGATCAGGTAAATCTAATTAATTTCTCTAGACATTTCAAACTGTGTTTGCTTTTGAAAGTTGAGTAATCTTCTAAACTTCTCTCTAGTCTGTACTTCTTCAGCATGTCTTTGTAGAGAGCTGTGAAGTATGTTTTGTTGATATTTTGTTAAATGTCCTTTTTCCCTTTTTAGGCTATTAGGAGGCGATTTGATAAGCGTATTTACATTCCCCTACCAGACCTGAAAGCAAGGCAACATATGTTCAAGGTAACGTGCTCTCTGTATAATGTCTTTACAGTGGTGAGCAAGTCTGTGTATTGTTGGGTGAAACTGTTTCTATCTGGTTGTTGTAAATTTCACTTGGCTGTTCGCAGGTTCACTTAGGAGATACACCTCACAACTTGACAGAAAGTGATTTTGAAGATTTGGCTCGTAAAACCGAAGGATTTTCAGGATCCGATATTTCTGTTTGTGTAAGTCTAGGATTTGATTGTTTCTTTCATTTGTTTCCAAAAGAAACACTGATTAAACTTATTTTCCTGGTTGGCTTTGCTTTTCCATCATTTTTTCTTTTTGGGTTTCTCAACTTTGCACGTCTAATATTTGTTTCTTGCTTCTACAGGTCAAGGATGTCCTCTTTGAGCCTGTACGTAAGACTCAAGATGCGATGTTCTTTATCAAGACTCCTAATGGTTTGTGGGTGCCCTGCGGACCTAACCAACCAGGTGCTATCCAGACAACCATGCAGGAGTTAGCTGGTAAAGGTCTCGCTGCCAAGGTAAGCAAACATTTCATAAAGTCTCATTGGAGATCCAAAATTTAGGTGTCGATTATAAAGTAATAGTTCGATTAGAGGAATAATAATGTGCGGAAACTATTTTAAGATCATTGTCCCCGGGTCCTTGGCACGACAATAATCCACAATCTGTTTATGTTTAATTTTGATTATATCTTTCTTCTAAGTGAAATGCCGGGTTTATCATTATGGTTAATCTCCTTGTAGATTACCCCTCCCCCAATATCGAAGTCGGACTTCGATAAAGTTTTGGCAAGGCAGAGGCCGACTGTGAGCAAATCTGATCTCGAGGTGCACGAGAGATTCACCAAGGAATTCGGAGAGGAAGGTTAAGGAAGATACGAACAGCTAACCTGAAAGAAAATTGAACCCCGTCACCCTTTGTTAATTTGTACTTTATACGTAATGTGTGCCGGTTGTGGCTACACTCGGACCCACCCACCTCTAGTATCTTGGCCTTTCTATTGTAAGTGAACGACATTTGACATTGCCTCTGACTGATTGTATTGTTTAATGCGGAAGAGATGACCACCAATTTGCTTGCAAATGTAACTCTTGTTCTGTACATGGCAATACTAAGTTCTGTTTTAATATTAAGGTTATTTTTCGCTGAATCTTTCTGGGCTTACTTTGTTGTCCTATTTTAGGCTTCTGAGATTGTAATTCCTGTTGTTTCGCTTTAGAATTGGCACTGCAATTCATCGTAAAATCAAAACCCCTTCCAGTATTCCCCCATTTAGCTTGGATTATATGTTACTATCTTGCTAGGTCGGCAGGTGTTGGCACGCATATTTTCATTGTAAATTTGAATATTTCACGTCTAGGAAAAGGACGGTGCATTTGTGGCTTGTAATTCTTTTGCTTCTACTGGAAGGGACCTGGAATTTCCTCTCACCTTCTCTGGACAAAAGATGGAAGTACAAACTACAAGGGAGCAAAGACTCCAACAAAAAAGGTATATGTGCAAGAAATCCCAAATTTTTAACCTATGTATGAGATAATCTCAGTGGATACCCAAATCAAGACTTGTGGCTAGTTGACCTGCCATGATTTTTTAGCCTTATAAAACAATTTTCTCAATCTCTCCTTCGACCTTTTGGAATTGTCGACATGGAATCAGTTCATTAGTTGACGGAGAATTTACACATAATCAACAACACCGTTAGCCGGCTAAATGTAGAAAATCTAGTGTTATTGCTTTGATTGATGTAGGGAGTCAAATTTTGGTTGTACTTTGTGTTGCCGATTTGCAATGTCGGCCTCTACTTGACCCGATGACTATCTGTTTAGGTTTTTTTTTGGAAAACGACTATCTGGTTAAGTTAACCAACATATCATACGCATATGTTTTCTTATATCCTTTTCATAAAATGGTTGTTTCTAGTTTCTATTTCGTGACCAACTAATCAAACTCAATTAAGATTATCGATCTTCAACTGCATTATAAACATTAAGTAAGATGAAACTCTAATATAGTTAAATCCCATATACGTTTTTTTTTTCCTCTACATTATAATCGTTGAGTAAGATGCAACTCTAATATAGTTAAGTCTCTTGTCGATTCATGTATAAAAAATGGAGATTTGTGATATTCGGATTTTCTAAGGAAATCCTACAAAATACCAAAATATTTTACATTTGGCTTCGTTGCTTCCGTCGTCGACAAGGCAACTTGGGTTAAAAATCTTCAAGCCGGCACTTCCAAGCGTTATATGTCCACCGTCTTGCATGGAATATAGACAATTGTTTCATGCTGATTAAGTTAATGTTTTTTAATCTTTGATCAAACATAAGTTCTTTCTGTTCCTGTTTATGTCTTCATTATTAACATTATCATCATGACTATTTATGATTATCATAATTCAACTCAATGTTGATTGTCGCATCTATAAAATGGTGTTTTCAACAACCACATTATAGTCACCCACTTCAGTATTTTCTCTGTAATCAAAGTTTCTATTCTTTTTTTTCTTTTTTTTTCTTTTTGATCACTGAGATGAGAGAAACCACACTTTCAATCTTTATACTTGTGTTATTTCCATTGATTGTATTTAGTCATGGTGACACAATTGATAAGAAGGTAAACTTTATCTTGACTATATATATTGAACTGGTTTCCAAATGAAATTCCATATTGAGTGTTATGTAAATATCGTGTTGTGCTTTTTTACTATATTTTGATAGTTAGAATTACCGCCACTACAAAGAGTATTTAACCCCGATTGTGTTTTATCGATTGCTTATTGAACCCTGTGAATTGTGCGAAAGTAGAATACTCTAAATTTAAGTTAAAAAAAGTTTTAGAAAACGTTCTTGGTGGGAAAAAAAATCTATCTGAGATTAATTAACATATTAGTTCTATATGGATTTGTTGCAGCATTACATTGTATACATGGGATTTCACTCACATCCCAACTCAGAATCAGTTATCCAGGCAAATTATGAACTGCTCTCTTCAGTCATTGGCAGGCATGCAATTTTTACCATCTTTTCTGCAGGTTTTTGAATTATGTTTATTGCTTGCTCAAGGGCATTATTCAATTGTTTTGAACATAATATTTACAGTTCTCAAGAAGCTGAAGATGCTGCAATTCATCATTACACCAAAACATTTAGAGGTTTCTCTGTAATGCTGACCCCAGATCAAGCTAAAAAACTTGCAGGTTTTGATCACCTTTGAGTTAATTGATATATAAAGTACCATATGTCACTTTCCATTTCCTCTGTGTATATTTGTTGATCACATAGCACTACCTTGATTTGCAGAAAGTGACTCAGTTTTGTCGGTGTTCGAGAGCCGGATGAACAAGATTCATACTACTCAATCATGGAACTTTCTGAGAATAGATTCTGCTCAGCAATACAATAACCTACCATTGAGTGTAAAGTCAGATGTAATTGTAGGGGTCATAGATACTGGTAACTAAGGACTTTATGATTGAATGGATCACTGAAACTTTGTTCTTCATATGATGAAAATTATGTGTATTGCATTAAAATGGTTCATGGTTTTTTCGTTATGCGCAGGAATTTGGCCTGAATCAAAGAGTTTTGATGATTCTGGCCTTGGCCCTGTTCCCTCAAGATTCAAGGGACAATGTGAAACTGGTGAAATGTTCACATTGGCCAATTGCAACAGGTATTTTATGCTTCAAATACTACTCGCAAATTCGAGCTTACAAAGGAGTAAATTTTCTAATGACACATTTTGGGATGTGCTGCAGAAAGATTATAGGAGCAAGATACTACTTAAATGGATTTCTAGCAGGAGGAAAGACACTAGAGTCATTCAACCAAACATTTTTCCGATCACCACGAGATGACAATGGCCATGGAAGCCATACGGCGTCCACTATCGCTGGTTCATTGGTTTTGGATGCAAGCTTATCCGGGTTGGCAAATGGCACTGCCAGAGGAGGTGCACCAAGTGCTAGACTAGCCATCTACAAAGCCGGCTGGTTTGGTTTCTTAAGCGATGCAGATATACTCGCTGCTTTCGATGATGCTATTCATGATGGTGTTGACATTCTTTCCCTTTCCATCGGACCTAATCCACCCCAAGCTGATTACTTTCATGATGCAATGTCAATTGGAACTTTCCATGCATTTCATAAAGGAATCGTTGTTACTGCATCAGCTGGTAACAGTATGTTACCGGGGACTGCAACCGGTGTTGCTCCCTGGATTCTTACTGTTGCTGCAAGTACACTTGACCGTGAACTCGAGTCCACTATTACTCTAAATAATTCATCAACGACCATAACGGTGGGATTCCACAAACCATATAATTTTGAACACAAACTATAAAGATCTCATCAGAATCTGAAACAGGATTTCTATCTTGTAACAGGGTTATGGACTAAATCCATCAGACCTAGAGAGTGCTAATGGACTGATATTCGGAAGTGAGGCTGCACTTCCGGGAATCCCACAGATAAATGCGAGGTACAAGATTCGATGGAACATAGTGCATATTTCCTGGATTTAATCTTTGAATTCAACAGAGACTATACACCAGATGTTCTAAAGACTTCAAGATTTTAACTGGCCATCTTCCTTTTTTTCCAAATGTGATCCAGCTTTTGCCAGACAAATAAAATGAACCCTAACCTGACTAAGGGGAAAATTGTGGTCTGTGATCTGGAGAATGAGGCTGCGGACAGAATTCAAAAGCGCGTTTACATAAGAAGCATCGGTGGAGTGGGAATGATAGTTGTCGATCCACTTGCTCAGGACATACTTTTTCAGTTTGGACTACAGGCCACTGTAATTACTCCACAAGCATCAGAAGAGCTTCAAGCATACATAGCAGCAGAAATGTATGCTCTCAGTTTCACTAAAACGTCATTGATTTGTTCCACTGCATACAAAATCATCAAAGATATTAACTTCTCCTAACTTCATATGATCACAGGAATCCGGTAGCCAGAATACCGCGAACAACAACCTTCATGTCGACTATACCAGCACCTGCAATGGCCTCCTTTTCATCAAAGGGTCCAAATATCATCACACCAGACATAATCAAAGTACCTTTCTAAAACCTCCTGCAGTTATATTTTCATCTGACAAACATTCTTCACAAAATGTAGAAATCAAAGCTAAAATATCCAATGATTTGACGGCAGCCGGATGTAACAGCACCAGGAGTAAACATTTTGGCAGCATGGTCTCCAGTGTCTCTTTCTTCTACCGGTGGGCGATCTTACGACTATAACATTATATCTGGTACATCCATGGCATGTCCACATGTATCTGCAGTTGCAGCCATTTTGAAAGCTTCCCACCCATCTTGGAGCCCTGCAGCAATAAAATCAGCAATCATGACAACAGGTAAAAAACAATCAGGACATAAAAAATTTTTCTTTTTCCACCATTTTCTGATCCATTTTGTTCACTTGTTTACACTGCTGCAACAGCAAGTCCATTAGATAACAGTGGAAACTACATCAGAAGACATCCTGATAACAGCATAGCAAATCCCTTCGATTACGGTTCAGGGCACATAAATCCAGTAGCAGCAATCGATCCAGGGCTAATATACGATTACAACACCGACGACATCATAGATTTCTTATGCAGCAATGGAGCAAATTCCACACAGCTTAAAACTCTGATTGATCAAGAACAATCTTGTAAGGAGCCTCTGAAACTTTCCTACAACTTCAACTATCCATCCATTGGAGTCGCCAACATGACGGGATTCGTCTCAGTTTACCGAATTGTAACCTATGTTGGCAATGGACCCACAGTTTATAAACCAGACATTGAATTTCCATCTGGGGTGAATGTTACAGTGACACCAAGTATGCTGAATTTTACAAATGAAGGGGAGAAATTGAGTTTCAGGGTTGATTTTAATCCGTATCAGGCTAGTAATGGAAGCTTTGTTTTCGGGTCTTTAACATGGAGCAATGGGATTCACAGGGTAAGAAGCCCGATTGCAGTCACTGTGACTTTGGTATAGGATTGTGGAATTGTGAATGTGTAAACCCATTATTTTCCAAGTTTACAAGAGCGATTTTCTGATCATGTTCATCATCATCATATTGCAATTCGAAAAAATTACATATACAGTATAATGGAATGTTTTATCTTCAATGATTATCTCATTTTACAATTTCCGTCCCAAAAAAAAGTCATGTTTGTTATTGAATATTGACATGATCTTACTAGGTTACTTTCACCTTCACACACCATTAATGCATAATCCAAATTAAGAGATGCGACAAAGAACACCTCGAGGAGGAAGAGCATTAAGTGATGACCGTTGACTTACTCAAAAAGTCACCAGAAATTCTTGTGAGATGAGATTTTTGGTCTCAACTGTGATGTAACAAGTGTAACGAATAAACTTATACGTCATTTCATTAATAAAATAGGTAATGGGAAAAATACAATGTGCGCTCTCATTTGGTTGTTTCACCACCACGTGTAGATTTGACTTTCAAACTCGGTTGACTTGATCGTGCAAACTTGTGGAACTTCATTTCATTTGTTGGTCAAACGCCAAAATCTCATTAAAGATGCAAACTGAAATGCAAAAGGAAAGTCAAAATGTTTACTCAGAAAAATTTACTTTGAAGAAGAGCTATCTATAGTTGGTTATGATCCCAATGTAGTCAAAGATGGCAAGAACAACATTAGGCCATTAAAAAAAACAGAAATTCAACTGCCTAATTACTTCTAACTCCAATAAGAAAAAGAAGAGGAAGAAGAAGAAACTGAACTGCATTGATTCAATTTGAACTCCTCAACAGTATTCTTTGGCAGCTTTTCCTGTCTAAAGCATCTAAATTCCGGAAGGTATTTAATGCATGCTCACGCCACAACAAAAGAGAGCAAAAATGAAACTGATTGACATAATCTGACTAAAAAAATGTATATACTCTCAGTCAGTGCTTCAGTTTACATCATCTCTCCACTATACAAACGCCTATCTGGAAGTAAAAAATGTTGTGTTACCAAGAAAACAACTTGAAATGAAGTTCTCAGCTGAAATTGGCATAGGTCTGTGAACTCTTGCTCTTTTTTCATCACTTTAGTTGAAGTTTGATTTGGGTTCTTTAACAAATCAGAAGCCCCCAGTAGTTCATGATTCTCATAAATCCAGCAAGTTCTCTTTTCTGACAAAAATGGGCAAATGTCTGTGATTCCTTTTGTCATTCCAACCGGAACAAAAAAAAAAACCGTCTTGTTTGCTGAACTAAAATCGTACACATGAACGTGACTTTTTATTGATTTTTTTTTCTTCGGGAGATCATCAGATATCGAATCACCATTTCATAATAGGGATTGATTATTTTCTGGAAGCTTCGACTACAACTGGAGAATTAAACTTGTTAGAGAGAAATCCCTTTGGCCAAGAGAGAAAAAGGTAATCTTTGTTATATTTCCTCTTCGTGCCAATAAATGTAGCTGAAAAAATTGTTTGCACATTTGCATTAGAAGTAGATCATGCTAATTTATAGTCTCTGAACTTGAGCTGTGTTCTGTTCTAGTTCTCTATTTTGAAGGACAAAAATGTTCGAATTTGTGCTCAGATTTCAATTAATAATCATTCAAATGAAAGAAAAACATGAGTTTTGTTGCAGACCAAATTATTTAAGACCCGATTGGCGAATCAATTGAATTTTGTTGACAGAGCAATTAAAATTTAACGATGGATCGGTGTACCAAATTTTTTTATTTTGTTTTTTTAGCAATAGATCTAGAATTTCTTTAAGATGATAAATCAAAGAAGCCAAATTTTAATTGATTGAAAAATGTGTTTTATGTCTCTTCAATCAACTAAATTATTCGTTCTGATTTTGTTCATTATGTTTTCAATTAACTAATCCATCCGTTTGAGTTGTTTTTTATCCCAATGATAAAGCATAAATTTTGAGAAGCAAGGGAAAAAAAGGAAGAAAAAGTGAAAAAAAAAAAATAGGAAGGAAAACATAAGAAGAAAAGAATTTAGGTAAGTTTAGGCCGATGGTAAAATTCTTTTAAGGGGGTTCAAGAGTTGAAATTCTTTAATAGGAAGTTAAAGTTTTAAAATTCTTATTGAAGACGTGAAATAAAAAACAATCACAATGCTAAGATGGTCACTAACACATCGAACGGATTACTAAAAATGATTTCGAAAATTTATTAATAGCAAATATTATAAGTTTCCCTTAATAATAATTTTCTATCTGTTTTTCTCTTGTCATAGTCACCAAAACCGAAGAAAAAAACTCGAGATTTTATGATACTAGGATTTGGATGTAAGTCATGTAACTGTTAGTTTCTCATGTTGTCGATCACTACAATTTCTTCTAACATAAAATGATTTAATTCGTCAGTCGCAAATCGTTGTGAACTAAATTTGACCTCCTCCTAAATCCTAATTGGAATGTCGTCTAGTACTAAGTTTACATCATTTTAAAATTTTAATTTTACATTCTTCATCTGAATCATTTCTCGCTCATGGTTCATTGCGCAATTTTTACATCTGTTCTACCCAGAAATCAAAATTTCTGTTTTCCTATCTCAACAGTTTATATATTTATTTCCATATTTCTTGACCTTGCGATTGTAGTGTTACTGGGTCCACAGGAAAATGACGACTTTTGTGATCAAGTTGCGAGTAGAAGACACCGAAGATGGAGGAGGAAATACTTCACAAAACAAAATCTATACCTGTAACGTCTGCGGCAAGAAATTCGATTCCGGAAAGGCCTATGGAGGTCATAAGAGAATCCATTCAATGAGGATCATCGGTAAATCCCGAAAGGACCAGCCGCAAGCCGTCAATGAGGTCGTCAATCTCCAGCAATATCCTGATGGTGGCGAACCAAGGTACATCAAGTGTTCTCGCTGCCCTAAAACTTTCCGCACCGAAAAAGCATTTGAGGGGCACAAGAAAACTCATCATCATAATATCAATGACAACATTGTGCAACATGATCATGATCACGAGTCTTTAAAATCTCCGTGCTTGAATGGCGCCGGATTGGAAGAAGTAAAATCGGAAGTTGACAACCAAAAACATCCGGCCAAGGCGGGCGAAAACCGTGCAATGACATCGGATCTCGCGAAAGCGTTACCACCTAGTTGGGGCGTTACTGGTAAAAGAGGGCAGTATTGCGCGGATGAGGCATTGCTTCCGCTTAAGAAGAGAAGAATCGAGCTTTCATTTGAAGTCTACAATGAGAGAAAGCCGTTGGTTGCGGATGACATGAATGGAGAAAAAAGTAGCATGAAGAAGACATTCAATGAGGTTGCGGTTCCAAATAAGAGGGCTTTTGCATTTGATCTCAACGAGATTCCGCCATTTGATATTGAAGATTAGTTGTATTTCTCCGTTTTCTTTTCATCCGTCGCTTTAGGATTAATTTCATATTTAAGCATGAGGATTTGTCACTTTATTGCACATTTGGATCAATCAGAATCAACTTTGACTAAAGGAAAAAAAAAATAGGTTCAATTTATTTTTTCTATCACAAAAGTGTATCATAGATTAAGGGTAAAGCTATAATCCCGTTTTTAAATTTACAGATATGGTCCCGTTATTTAACTAATAGCCATTAGATCAGTCTAAATTGATCACAACCATAGAATTTGCATTAAAGAAATAAAATCATGAAAACTCTACATGACAGGCAACCGGTTGTTAATTAGGGTATAAAATTTATTTATGGTATAGAATTTAATTGGAGTTTTCTTCTATTTTAATTACTGTCAGTTTGTATTTTCTGTTCTCCTCCTATTTTTTGGATAAGCATTGCAAACAATTTGGATAATCAATAGAAAATAATTGAATAATCAGTACAACACGTTGGATAATCAGTACAAAAAATTTGACTATCATTTTCATAAAAGAGCTAGGAAAAAAAATACTGGATAACCACCACAAAGAAGTTGGATAATCAATATGAACACATTGGATATCCAGTTTAAGAACATGGATAACCGACTTATTTTACATTCATATTGTTGTGTTCCTTATATCTTTTGATCCGTAAGGATTATAACACGGATTATATATGAAATTTATAGTGCTTGACGAGATCTATCCAATAACATCAATGTTGAATATTTCTTTTGAACTTTAAATGCATTTAAATCTTACGGGCAGAAATGAATAAACTAAAAAATGATTATCCGTTGTGTCCATACTGATTATCCAACCGGTTTGGATTAATTACCTATTTTGTTTTATCCAATCATATTTTTTACATTCACTTTTCAAAAAAGAAAAAAAAAGAAAAAAAAAAGATGAATAACTAACTTAGTTTAGATTGATATTCTTGTATTATATATATTTCTTGATCCGTAAAGAATTAGAACGCGAATTATATATGAATTTTATAGTGCTCGACGAGATCTATCCAACCGGTTTGGACTGATTGTCCATTTTGTTTGTACTTGTTATCTAGTCATATTTTTTACATTCACTCATCTTCAAAAAAAAGAAAAGAAGAAAAGAATAAAAAATAAAATATTTGGATAAGCATTACAAACAATTTAGATAATCATTGAAAATAATTGGATAAGTAGTACAAGCTGGTTGGATAACCAGTACAAAAAAATCGGACAATCATTGTAATTAAAAGAGCAAGGAAAAAAAAAGTTGGATAACCATCCATCACCGAGAAGTCGGATGGATAATCAGTATGAACACATTGAACAGATTTTTTCTCAAAAGAAGAAAAAAAAAAGAGAAATTATGTTTGGATAATCAGTGAAAACGATTGGATACGGCATACAAAACGGTTGGATAGTCAGTATAAGAAAACTGGACAAGGATTTTCGCAAAGAGTAGAGAAAAAAAATGGTCGGATAATCTATACAGCACAGTTGGATAATCAATACGAACGTGTTGGACAACCATTTCTTTTTTTCAAAAAAATAAAAATAAAAAGAAAAACCAAATGGATGGATTTCCAGTACAAACGAGTTGGATATCCAATACAAACCAAGTGGTATATCCATTACAAACAAGTTGGATAGGCATACAAACCAAATGGATGGATATCCACTACAAACAAATTGGATAAATATCTAGTGCGTACAAACAAGTTAGATAGGCATACAAACCAAATGGATGGATATCCAGTACAAACAAGTTGGATAGGCATACAAACCAAATGGATGGATATCCAGTACAAACAAGTTGGATATCCAGTACAAGCGAGTTGGATATCCAGCACAAACAAGTTGGACATGCATACAAACCCGTTGGATTACAACTACAAAATAAGTTGGATAAGCATATAAACCAAATGGATGGATATCCAGTACAAGCGAGTTGGATATCCAGTACAAACAAAAATGGATATCCAGTACAAACAAGTGGGATATTCATTACAAACAAGTTTGATAGGCATACAAACCAAATGGGTGGATATCCAGTACAAACAAGTTGGATAACCAGTTCAAACTAGTTGGATAATCAGCATAAACACAATGGATAACCAATTTAAAATGAATTGGGTTATCCATCTTTTAAACTAGATATCCATCTTATTCTCCCCATCGAAATTTAGTCATTTTTAAACTCGGAAAAAATATTCGACATGGATCTTGTTGGATAGATCTCGACGAATACAATAAAACTCATGTATAACATGTTTTCTAATTCGTCATGAATTGAGAGATATAGTCGTTTAATGATTAGAGATATTTTTTAAAGGAGAGAGAAAAAAATCAAAGGGACTAAACCTGTAAATTATAGGATGTTATTTAGAAAAGTGGAAAAAGGTGTAGTAAGGATTAATAGTGTAAAAAATAGGAGGGGAGTATGGTGCCCCGGATATACTGGATAGAGACTCAGCGGTTGTGTTCGGAGGTAGAATTATTCAAGAAAATCACTAAGGTTAAATCCCAATTTGGTTACAATTTATGACACTACCAGCAACTGGAAAACGAGGGGATGGGAAGGCAGTATTGTTTTAAAAAAAAAAAAATTAGCATATACATGTGGTGGCATAATAATATTCGTAGCATATACGTATGGTGATATATTATTCGTAGAATGGTGAACAAGAATTGCAGAGTATGTCTAAAGTCATGCTCAATAAGTAAGTAAATTTAACCTAGTCTATCTATCTATCTACAAATAATAATAATAATATAATAATAAACTCCATTATAGTAAAATCAATTTCTTCCAAAAAATCCACTTGTCAACCTCTCCTTCAAAATATCCATTTGTCATTTCAACATTTGTTTTTTAAAAAAAGAACAAATAAAAATAAATTCTAAGCCTCGCAAGCATTTTCCTATTAGAATTCTCCAAACATGAAACTATACCCAATAATAATAACAATAATAATAATAATAATAATAATAATAAACTCCATTATAGTAAAATATATTTCTTCCAAAAAATGCACTTGTCAGCCTCTCCTTCAAAATTTCCATTTGTCATTTCAACATTTTTTCAAAAAAAAAAACAAATAATAAGAATAATAATAAACTCCATTACAGTAACATCAATTTCTTCCAAAAAATCCACTTGTCAACCTCTCCTTCAAAATATACATTTGTCATTTCAACATTTTTTCAAAAAAAAAAGAACAAATAAACTCCATTATAGTAAAATCAATTTCTTCCAAAAAATCCACTTGTCAACCTCTCCTTCAAAATATCCATTTTTCATTTCAACATTTTTTCAAAAAAAAAAAACAAATAAAAATAAATTCTAAGCCTCGCAAGCATTTTCTTATCAGAATTCTCCAAACATGAAACTACCCAATAAATAATAATAATAATAATAATAATAATAATAATAATAATAATAATAATAATAATAATAATAATAATAATAAACTCCATTACAGTAAAATAAATTCCTTCCAAAAAGAAAACACTTGTCAACCTCTCCTTCAAAATATCCATTTGTCATTTCAACATTTTTCAAAAAAAAAAAGAACAAATAAAAATAAATTCTAAGCCTCGCAAGCATTTTCCTATTAGAACTCTCTAAACATGAAACTACCCAATAAATAATAATAATAATAATAATAATAATAATAATAACAATAATAATAATAAACTCCATTATAGTAAAATAAATTTCTTCCAAAAATGCACTTGGCAACCTCTCCTTCAAAATATCCATTTGCCATTTCAACATTTTTTCAAAAAGAAAAGAACAAATAAAATAATAATAATAATAATAATACAAACTCCATTATAGTAAACTAAATTTTTTTCCAAAAAATCCACTTGTCAACCTCTCCTTCAAAATATTCATTTGTCATTTCAACATTTTTTCAAAAAACAAAGAACAAATAAAAATAAAATTCTAAGCCTCGCAAGCATTTTCCTATTAGAATTCTCCAAACATGAAACTACCCAATAAATAATAATAATAATAATAAACTCCATTATAGTAAAATCAATTTCTTCTAAAAAATCCACTTGTCAATCTCCCCTTCAAAATATCCATTTGTTATTTCAATATTTTTTCAAAAAAAAAAGAACAAATAAAAATAAATTCTAAGCCTCTCAAGCATTTTCCTATTAGAATTCTCCAAACATGAAGCTACCCAATTTCGATTAATAAAATTCCAACTACCACTCAATTTTCAAAATTCTATGAGCACTAATTTATGCTCATTTTTAGATTAATTGCTACATGTTCACAACTATATAATTAATCAAAGAAACCGATCTAGTGAAAAAAGATTGGAAGTAATGTGGAGTATTCTTGGCCCCTAATTTTTTGTCACTTTCCCATTAAAATTTTATCTTTCTCTATTATAATTTTACCATTGATTAATAAGTACACATCATAGTTATCAAATCGTGATATGTATCGTGTATCGAAAACCTAAATTTATGATACGCGTATTGGATCGTGTATCGTATCGTAAGATACATTTTAATATAAAAATATATATAAAATAAATAATAAATATCATAAACTCCATATATAATTATTATATTTATGTATTTTTAAAACTTTTCAGATATAAACAAAAATTGATTAAGTTGAATTCAAGATTATTTGAAAGTTACACAAATTATTTATTTATTACATGAATAATGGTCGTAAAGCTTATGTAATAAATATTATTCTTTACAAAAGTTGTTATTATTACCATAAATTTAATAGTAAGAAAATTAATATAAACATGCATTGCATTTATTCAACATGCTATTAGTTGTATCTGATTTAGAAAATCATATTATGAATAAAATAATGCTTTTAATTAATTTTTTTGAACTATAATAATTTATTAATCAATTTTTTCGTCAATTGAGGAAGATTATATTTGTGAATTGTGAACTAAATAAATCAAAAGCATCTATTCGAAACAAATTGTAAATGAAATCTACTCT